TTGGCTATAAATAGCCATGGTTTGAGTATGGTTTCTTCATACCAAGCAAAGCAAAGCAAATAAGAAAGAAAGTAGAGAGTGATTTGAGCAATTGTGAGTTGTGGGAAGGTGAAGAAATAAGAGAGTTAGTGAGCATTTCGATCCAATTTTTCCAACAAGTGGTATCAGATCAAAGGTTATTCCTCGTATGCTCTGTGGTTGCGGTTTAGGCCGACCTTCCACATCATAAAAGGTTTCCTTGGGCTTTGTTATCAGTATCAAGGTTATTCCTCGTATGCTCTATGGTTGCGGCTTCGACCGATCTTCCACATCAGAAAAGGGATTCCTTGTGCTGAGTTGTCATTCAACCGAGAGCCAGTAGTGACGAAATCCTCATCAGGCGGTCAGAGGCCGCAGTTATTTCAGGAAGACTGAAATAGAGAACTTGGAGAAGTTACCAAGTAAGAAGATGGAGGGTTTCTCAGTTACCGCTATGGAGAAGTTGAACGAGACCAACTACTCAAGTTGGATCACCCGTATGGAGTTTTATCTCAGAGGCCAAAAGCTCTGGGAAATCATCACCATCCCACCACCCAAAGATGAGAAGTTATTGGAGGACTGGAAGCAAAAAGCAGACAAGATCATGTACATCCTTGCAGTCACAACAGAAGACCAATTCCTGCCTCGCATCAAGGAAAGCAAATCCTCGAAGGAAGCTTGGGATACTCTCTCCACAATCTTCGCCATGACCAATGAGGCGAGACGCCAGAGACTGGAGAATGAATTGATGTCACTATCCCAACAAACATTGACCATTGGTCAATATTTCAACAAAGTAAAAAATGTATGTGCCGAAATTTCGAAACTGGATCCTGAAAATCCAATTTCGGAAGCTCAGACAAGAAGAATCATCATTCGTGGCTTGAGACCGGAGTTCAAGGGCATAGTGACAGCAACAAGAGGGTGGTCAAAGGAGCCAACCCTAGCTGAGTTGGAGAATCTTCTAGCAAATGAAGAAATTCTCGATGACAAGATGTCAAAGGCGTCAATCAAGGAAAAGGAAGCCTTGCTCAGCAAAAGTAAAGACTCTAATGGTGGAGAGAAGGCTCTTGCATCAACAAGTGGCCAAAAGGGGTTCAAGAAGAACCAAAAGTGGAACAAGAAAGGGGGCAACTATCGAGGGGGAGCCCAGAAAAATTACAACCACCGTTACAAGGGTGGTGACGGAAAGGACAGGAAGGAGCATGATCGAGAAAATGGCAATTGCTACATTTGCCACAAGAAGGGTCATCTAGCCAAAGATTGCTGGCACAAAAAGGAAGAAGGAAACGCTGCAACTTCTTCCAAGGTGAATGATGATGAATGGGACTTTCAAGCATCCTTTGCAACGGAAGCTCCAAAAGTCGCCACTAAAGAGTTAGTGCTCATGTCAATGGACAAGAATGTCATTGATTATGAAAATGACTGGATTGTGGACTCGGGATGTTCAAATCACATGACTGGTGATGAACATAAGTTTTTAAACGTGTCCGAGTACAAAGGTGGATGAGTGGTTGTCACCACCAACAACTCTAAGCTGCCAATCACCCACATCGGCGAGACACTTATTACTCCTCGGTTTGGCGATCAACAAGTGGTTAAACGTTTACCACGTCCCTGGAATGCGAAAGAATCTGATGTCAGTATCACAACTGACAGCATCTGGTAATTATGTGGTATTCGGTCCTAGAGATGTGAAGGTGTATCGAAGCTTACAACCAACTTCTGATCCGATCATGCAAGGGCAGAAGCTGGAGTCTGTCTATGTAATGTCAGCAGAAGCGGCTTATGTTGACAAAACAAGAAGAAATGAGACGGCAAGCTTATGGCATGCTCGTCTTGGACACGTTGGCTATCAGAAGCTCAAGGCGATGATGAAGAAGTCCATGCTCAAAGGACTTCCTCAACTTGATATCCGTGATGATATCGTGTGTGCCGGATGCCAGTATGGGAAAGCTCATCAGCTACCCTATGAAGACTCAAAGTTCAAGTCTAAAATGCCTCTAGAGCTTGTCCATTCAGACGTGTTTGGACCAGTGAAGCAGGCCTCAATGTCTGGAATGAAGTACATGATTACATTCATTGATGATTTCTCAAGATATGTCTGGGTTGACTTCACGAAAGAGAAATTTGAGGCGTTTGATAAGTTCAAATTGTTCAAAGAACTTGTCGAAGTCAAAGTCTGTCAGAAGATCAGATGTCTTCGTACAGACAATGGAGGAGAGTACACTTCAATCGTATTCACACAATTTCTCAAGCAACACCGAATTCGACGCCAGTTGACCTGCCCATGTACTCCGCAACAAAATGGAGTAGCAGAGAGGAAGAATCGTCACTTGGCAGAAATTTGCAGAAGCATGCTACATGCAAAGAATGTTCCTCCCAAGTTTTGGGCAGAATGCATGAAGACTGTTGCTCATGTTGTCAACAGGCTACCTCAGCCAAAGTTGGGGTTTGTATCACCCTATGAGAAATTGTGGAAGTTGAAGCCCAATGTCAGTCATTTCCGAGTATTTGGGCGTGTGTGTTATGTGTTCATACCAGACCATGCTCGAAGCAAGTTTGACAAAAAGGCGGTCCGATGCATTTTTGTGGGCTATGACAATCAAAGGAAAGGATGGAGATGTTGCGACCCAACAACAGGAAATTGTTATGTGTCACGCAATGTAGTGTTTGATGAAGCATCATCCTGGTGGTCCCCAGAAGCAGTCCTACTTCCAGACTCAAAGGAGATGGAGGAGAGGTTGCTAGAGAGGTCTAGTGAAGAAGAGGTGAAAACAACAGAAGTTGAACAAGGAGAAAGTTCTGCTGGAGCTCAAACTCGCTCTCCTGAAAAAGGCAAGAGTCCTTGGAAGACTGGAGTTCACCAGCCAGTCACAGAAGAAGAATGACCTAGTCAACTGGATCATATTGTTGATCCTCAACAAGAGCTCAGAAGATCGAAGAGGGCTAGAAAGCCAAATCCCAAATTTGCCAATGTAGCCATGATAGGAGATATTGGCGTAAGAGAACCAACATCTTATGAAGAAGCGGAAAAACATGGTGAATGGAGAAACGCTATGAAAGAAGAGATTCAAGCTCTTGAGCAGAATCAAACATGGGAACTCGTACCAAAGCCTGAAGATGTTAGGCCCATATCCTGCAAATGGGTTTACAAAGTGAAGACAAAGTCAGATGGATCAATTGAGCGTTTCAAGGCTCGATTGGTGGCTCGTGGATTTTCTCAACAATATGGGCTGGATTATGACGAGACGTTTAGTCCAGTTGCTAAGATCACAACTGTCCGTGTTCTCTTAGCACTTGCAGCCAGTAAGTCTTGGAGAATGTGGCAGCTAGATGTGAAGAATGCTTTCTTACATGGAGAGCTTGACCGAGAAATTTACATGGAGCAACCTAGAGGGTTTGAGAGCATAAACACAGACTATGTCTGTAAGCTCAAGAAAGCCCTATATGGTCTGAAGCAGGCACCTCGAGCTTGGTACGGTAAGATTGGAGAATTTTTACTCCAATGCGGATACTCTGTCACTCCGTCAGATTCAAATTTGTTTGTCAAGGAGCAAGATGGAAAATTAGCAATTGTGCTAGTTTATGTTGATGACTTGATCGTGACTGGAGATGATGAAGAAGAAATCAACCGAACTCGAACGAATCTATCCATAAGGTTCCAAATGAAGGAACTTGGAGAGCTGAAGCACTTTCTTGGACTTGAAGTCGAGAAAAGAGAAGATGGCTTATTTCTTAGTCAGCGGAGATATGCCATAGTGTTGCTAGAGAAGTTCGGGCTACAAGAGTGCAAGCCTACGACAACACCGATGGAGGCTAACGTTAAACTCAACTCACAAGAGGGAAAAGATTTAGAAGACATGACGATGTATAGACAACTTGTGGGAAGTTTAATCTACCTAACTCTGACTCGTCCCGACATTTCATATGCAGTTGGAGTCGTTAGCCGTTTCATGCAGAATCCCAAGAAGGTTCACCTTGAGATCATCAAAAGAGTTTTCAGATATGTCAAGGGAACCATTGATCATGGGATAATTTACAAGAAGGGAGTAGAGTGCAAACTTAAAGGTTATTGTGATGCTGATTATGCTGGAGACCTAGACACTCGTCGCTCGACAACAGGATATGTGTTCACGCTCGGTTCAGGAGCAGTGTCGTGGTGCAGTAAAAGACAGCTAACCGTTTCGTTGTCAAGTACAGAGGCCGAATATAGAGCGGCAGCAATGGCATCACAAGAGTGCACCTGGCTAGTGCAACTTTTGAAGGACCTTCATCAAGAAGTTGATTACTCGGTTCCATTATATTGTGACAACATATCTGCTATCAAGTTAGCAGAGAATCCTGTGTTTCATGCTAGAACAAAGCATGTTGAAGTTCATTATCATTTTCTCCGAGAGAAAGTGCTGAAGGAAGAGATAGAGATGAAAGCAGTGAAGACGGGAGATCAGATTGCAGATATTTTCACTAAAGCACTTCCGAGAGTCAAGTTTAAAGAGTTCAAAAGAGAACTTGGAATGATCAAGAAGAAGAATGTTGGTGACGCTGAGCTACGTGGTGAAGACACTACTCAAGCATGATACGAGCACTACTCAGAGTAATGGTAAATTAAACTTTAAGGGAGAGTATTGAAAAATAAAGTTTAATAAACCAAAAAAAAATGTCACATCACAACTAGTTAGAGTTGTGAAGTGTGTGGAATTATCTAGAGTGTGTATTATTGTGGGTAGTTATGGATTAAGAAAAGAAGAAAAAAGAAGAACCACAAATGGGTAGATATTTGTGGGGTTAAGTAGGTGTAAAGTGGTAGTTAAGTGTGGCAAAATATAAGCCATAATTTAGTGTTGGAACTTGGCTATAAATAGCCATGGTTTGTGTATGGTTTCTTCATCCCAAGCAAAGCAAAGCAAATAAGAAAGAAAGTAGAGAGTGATTTGAGCAATTGTGAGTTGTGGGAAGGTGAAGAAATAAGAGAGTTAGTGAGCATTTCGATCCAATTTTTCCAACATCAACAACTGATAAACCAAAGGAAATCACTACATGATGTGAACTTGTGAAGCTCCATCACCAACCTTCATACCAGCAGCAGCTAGCATTAATTAATAATAATAATAGCGACATGGTCGCGTCGTCTATATCATCAGAATCCGAGGCGGATCCATGCATGCAGCAGCTCATGGCCCGCAATTGACAAAGTCCTCTTGACGTTGAAACCGGCAGTGACATCTGTATCATCAGAATCTTCCTCCCTGCATGTCGTTTGAATCAGAGTTCATCTCTTTAGCCAGTGTTTTCCGGCGAGGAAAAACTTGTGTTTGAACACAATGAATGCACCTTTGACTTCTTGAACAACGATTCTAAACATGGTTCACTCCTCTCCGAACAATGTTCGAACGAGGGTGTTTGATGTTTTTTATAGTTTTTTGGAAACAAGCTAAGTTAATTACACCTACTCCTATGGAGGTTCAGTGAGAGCTCCGAAAACTAAGGCTAGGGCTAATTTGCAGAGAAAAGATAAAAATTTGACATAGTGTGTCAAATGGTTGGTTGTGGAACCCTTGCTTCGTCTTCGTTTCTCCTATTTATAGTCATCCCTTGTAACCGTCGTAGTAACTGCTAGCTGGCCTTTTGCTCCAACCGCCTTAGGGGCCGCTTGTCGCTGCCTTGGTGACTAGTTGGTAACCGTCGCCTTGGGGGTCTGGTCTCATCGCCCTGTCATGACTGGATGGGGTTGAGGTTCTTTTCTTAGCCTCCCTGATGAAGTCTTTATCGCACCCTCGGCTGCTTGATGACTCCCCACTCTTGTCGTCTTGAGACAGCTACCATCTCATGACAACAATCCTGGGGGCTTGGTCTCCATACTTAGTCTTTGTAGCCTCATCAAGTTGATAAGTTACCCCCTGCGGCTTGGTACCCCCTTGGGGTCATGGTATCCTGTCGCTTTGCTTGGCTGCCAAGCCTGTCTTGCCGACCCCGTTGGCTTCATACTTAGCCAAATTCATGCTTTTCATGTCTTGGTACCAAGCCATGCCTTGTCGGCTTGGTACCCTCTTGCTATGGCCATGTGATTCCATACTTAACCAATTTTCATGTATTTTAGTATCAATCATGCCTTTTCGGCTTGATACCCCTTTGGCTCTATACTTAGCCCAATTCAATGTCTTGGTACCAAACCCTCCTTGCCGGCATGGTACCTTCTTGCCCCATGCTCAGCCGATTTTGTCTCAGCACGGATGGTCTCCTATTTGGTACCCGGCTTGGTACCCGGTCGTTTGGCACCCATCAGACGGTGTCATGCTTGACACCCTTGGTTGGATCTCCATACTTAGCTAATTCTCACCTCGGCATCATGTTTGACACCCTTAGACGAGACCCCCTTGGACGAGATCCTGCATAACCCCCTTGTGCTTGACCCCCTTGGGCGGTGTCATGCATGACCCCCTTGTGCTGTGGGTCTCAACACTTAGCCAAATTTTGGCTCTCTTTACCACCACAGCTAGGGGTACTAGCGATGACCCCCTTGGACGATATCATGCACGACCCCCTTGGGCGGTGTCATGCATGACCCCCCTTGTGCTTGACCCCCTTGGACGGTGTCATGCATGACCCCCCTTGTGCTGTGGGTCTCAACACTTAGCCAAATTTTGGCTCTCTTTACCACCACAGCTAGGGGTACTAGCGATGACCCCCTTGGACGATATCATGCACGACCCCCTTTGTGCTTGACCCCCTTGGGCGGTGTCATGCATGACCCCCCTTGTGCTTGACCCCCTTGGACGGTGTCATGCATGACCCCCCTTGTGCTGTGGGTCTCAACACTTAGTCAAATTTCATACCAAGGGGTGGAGGCATCGTCCGGCTATGGGGTCACGGAGACGGGTCGGCCATCGTATAGAGGAGAAGGGGTTTTGCCATCGTATGGAGGAGAAGGGGTTTGGCCACTTAGGCCCAAAAACCCAACCCAACAAGGCCCAGCTATCTCTTTTAATCATTAATGTTGAGCTGGCCTTATAAATCACTACCACTCCTTGAAAATAATCAATGTGGTATTAAGTTATTTTTTAGTGGTAAACAAATGCCCCCCAACTACTTAGTGCATAAGAATTATGGACTAAGTAGTTTATATCAACTGAACCACTTAAGGCCACCTCGTTGGCTTTATTAACAACAACCAAAACCATTAATTTCCCTCACCATCTCGTACCAACAGTGGTGGCCAACTTTTTGGCTTAGCCATTAATTACAAGGCTAATTGCTTCCTTCCCACGTACTCACGTGTAACACTTAAGAGGGTTTTTTTTCTTTCCTTCTCCAATTGATTTACGGAGAATCAAAATAGGCCGGAGCTCTAGTTCCCTTCCTCCACGGCGGTAAGTCTGCATATTACATACGTATGATTTTTTTTTCTTGCCATGTTTGGCTAGGATTCTTAGTTTCCTTGTCCTTGTGGGATGATACATCCATCAAGTACTCTTTCAACTCGGAAGAGACTATCAACTACAAACAAGGCACCAATAATGTTGGGCAAGCCTCTCAGCCACTCTATTCCTTTATAAGAATGTGTGGCAACCATCTACTTGTCCCCCATGACATGATATCTCTTGATTGTCTTAGTAATAAAATTATATTTTTATTATTGATGAAGCGTGATACCAATCTACTTGGCTTCACCCCTTCCATATCAACGTTATACTTTTGTCTCAATATACCCTCCATGTCATGGCTAGCTGTTCAAGCCATACTTCATCATGGGGGTATCATGCCATGCCTTAGGGCGTGGGAGGCGTGGCATGCCGGCCACCATGGTGGCCTACTAACATTGGACCCCTTGACACCCCACGTCCCAAAGAGAAGGGACGTAGGGCTTGAGATACTTACCATTGATCAATCGATCATGAAACACACCATCTAAATCTTTTAACAAGTAGGCCCCATTGGGCCGGGTGGCATGGACAATGAAGGGTCCACGCCAGTTGGGAGACCATTTACCAAACTTGGGATCCTTTTCCCCAATTGGCAAGTGTAGTTTCCATACTAACTCTCCTTCTTCAAAGGACTTGTGCTTATCCCTCTTGTTGTAAGAGCGAGCTACTTTGTCCTTTTGCACCCTGATGTTATCGAGTGCTTTGAGTTGGAGTTCATCAAGATCACACAATTCCAACATCATGGACTCGTAGTACTCTGAGGGTGTTAGCTCATGTTGTCTCATGTACCTCAATGACTTGACTGTTATTTCGAGTGGCAGGAAGGCCTCATGGCCATATGTCAAAGAGAAAGGGGTCACCTTTGTACTACTACGCGGTGACATCCGATAAGCCCATAAGGCTTCCGACAAGACTTCATGCCACTTTCTAGGGTTATCTTCAATCATCTTAGACAATATACCCTTCACCACCTTGTTGGATGCTTCAGCTTGACCATTGGCTTGAGCGTAGTAAGGAGTGGAGTGTATGATCTTGATGCCGTGTTCTTCGGCAAAAGCCATCACTTCCCCTCCCGTGAACACGGTACCCTGGTCAGCTGTTATGGTGGCTGGCAAGCCGAACCTATGTATTATATTCTCTTTGATGAACTTGATGATTTCCCCTTGATTGACCACTGTCATTGGCTTGGCCTCCACCCACTTGGTGAAGTAATCAGTTGCCAAGATGACAAACGTATGTCTATCAGAAGATGGTGGATAAATCTTCCCAATCAAGTCCATGGCCCAGCCAATGAAAGGTCGAGGCTTGATGATAGACTTCAAGTCAATGGCCGAAGCTCTTTGCACCGGGCCATGTCGTTGACAAGCCTCACACCCCTTAGCAAAAGCGGCACAATCCTCCCCGATGGATGGCCAGTAGTACCCATACCGGTGGAGTACCCATCTCATAGAAGGGCCTGCTTGATGAGCACCACATATCCCTTCATGAACCTCACCCATGGCTTGTAGGGCCTCCTTGCCCCCCAAGCACTTCAACAGTAAAACGTCTGGTCTCCTTTTGAATAAGACCTCATCCAACAAGACGTAGTTTCTTGCCTTGAATTTGATGGCCCGATCCACATCCCCTGTTGGATTCTTCAAGTATGCTATCAAGGGGGTACGCCAGTCACTGGCATCCTCTTCAATTGTAAACACATCTACCCTTTGCTTAAGTCTCGCATGTAGTGGGTTGAGCGTTCGCACAAAAATTTGCTCTCCCCCTTCATGAGCAAACTCTTTGAACCCCGAAGCAAGTTGTGCTAAGTAGTTGGCCTTGCCATTGTCCTGGCGGGGAACATACTTGATGGAGACATTATCAAAGTGGGTAATTAATATTTGGACAAAATCAAGATATGTCTCTAGTATGCAATTGATGCATCGAAATTCACCAAGTACTTGGTAGACTACCAGTTGGGAGTCCCCTTGGATGTTAACACTTTTGACTTTCAAGTCAACAAGCATCTCCAGCCCCACCACTAAAGCCTCATACTCGGCTTGATTGTTAGTGCATGGGAGATCAAGTGTAAAGGCAAAGTGCATGGCATGCCCTGATGGGGAAGTGAGGACCACGCCAGCACCCGCTCCAGATCGTGTTTTTGATCCGTCAAAGTATAAGGTCCAAGGGGCCTCTTCCACCATGTCTATTTCTACCAACTCAGCTGGCACATCCACACATGGGTGGTCAGCTAAGAAGTCAGCCAATGCTTGGCCCTTTATGGCCTTTTGAGGCACATATTGCAAGTTGAACTCAGATAGTGCAAGTGTCCACTTACCAATCCTCCCATGGATGATTGGCCGGGACCACATGTACTTTATTATATCAGTCTTACATATGAGTTGCACTTGAACAGGCATCAAGTAGTACCTTAGCTTCATACAAGAAAAATATAAGGCTAAACATAACTTCTCTACAGGAGAGTACTTTTGTTCTGCCTCGTTTAACAGCCTACTTAGGTAGTACACGGCCTGCTCATGGCCAGAGTCGCTATCTTGAGCCAACAGACACGCTACAGAGGTGTTAGTGGCTGAAAGGTACAACTTCAATGGCCGACGTGGGATTGGAGAGTTGAGTACCGGCGGGGTTGCCAGGTACTTCTTGATGTCATCAAAGGCTTGTTGATGCTCTTGGAGCCATACAAACTCATCTTCCTGCTTCAACTTCAACAAAGCAGAGAAGACTTGGGTTCGGCCAGCACAGTTCGAGATAAAACGTCGAATGTAGTTAACTTGGCCGAGGAATCTTTGAAGCTCTTTCTTATTACTTGGTGGCATGGCCTCAATGATGGC